TATAACTTCTTAAGCCATGGAGTACTAAAGAAGATGGTATGAATAAATTTGACTTTTGACTAATAATTTATTTAAAATATCTTCAAGTCTTGTTCAACTTGTTTATGCTTTGAATCATATTCTTATTATCTAAAGTGATCACTGTATCCAGTCATGTAATATAATATTAAAGTCAACTAATTATATACAGGGCAATATCTGATCTGAGAGAATTAATTCTATTAAAATCCAAATTTGGGATCAGCTTCCGCTTGCTACTATTCCACCGCTGCATTACTTCTTTGTGACTTGTGTGTGCCAAGGATTTTGATTCTCAACTATAACTGCACATTAGAATCACTGGGGGAACTTTAAAAAAATTCTCACTGGGTCCAGCCCTCAGAGATTCAGACTTGGTCTTGGATGGGTCTGGGCATGAGTGTTTATTAAACAGTTCTGGAAGTGATTTTAATGTGTAGACAGGGTCAAAGCCACTGGCTTATAAAATGTACTCCTCTATTTTGCAAGAAAAGTAAAATAAGAACCAAAAGGATTCATCATGATTAATGATTGTGTTTTTAGGTCAAAAGATATTACCGATGCTACTGAATGAATAGAGAGAGCTGGTATAAAAGGAGGGACTCAAGGAAATTCTGAAGGACAAGAAAGTCATTTAAAATTATAGTGGACCCTTGAACTACATGGTTTTTAAATTCATGGGTCTACTTATAAATGGATTTTTTTCAGTAATACAGTAAATGTATTTTTCTTCATTATGATTTTTCTTAATAACATTTTCTTTTCTCTAGCTAACTCTCTTGCAAGAATACAGTATATAATGCATATAACATACAGTAACATCAACAGTATGTGTTAATCAACTGTTGATGTTACTGCTAAGACTTCTGGTCTACTGTAAACTATTAGTAAAGTTTGGGGGGAGTCAAATATTGTATATGAATTTTCGACTGTGTGGAATGTTGGTGTCCCTAACCCCATGTTGTTCAAGGATCAATTGTAGTGTGGAAATTTAAAATGATATTTTTAAATTGGTTAAATATAAATGAAATAAACTTTGGCAATTCCAGACGCTTGCTTTTGCATCAACATATACATTGGGTGGCAAAGAAATGATGAATTTTTAAAACCGGCCTCCTATATGTAGAACAAGAGAAAGTGGGTGATTAGAAGCTATGTTTCATTTTTGCTTTGAGTTTTTTTCTCTCTCCGATATGATATAAACATCTAGAGAAGAAAGGTTAAGGGTAAAGCTTTATGGAAAATAAAACATCTGCCACAATTTTGAGAATGAATGGAATTTTCATCTTGGGAGGAAAGGTGGCAAGGTATGGAGGAGAACATCAGGAAGAGAAAATGCCAGAGTACAGCTGTGCAGCTCTTCCAGGATGGGGTATTTTGGGGGATCAGCAGATAGACTGGTGTGGCTGGAACTGAGGCTACAAGAGCAGAGTGTTGGGGGTAAGGCAGGAGAGTATATTGGGATCAGTAGTGAAGAAGACCTTGAGAGCCAAGATGGTCAGACATGAGGAAACCATGGTAGAAAGAATAATATTCCCTCCCTCTCCCTGCCCAAGATGTCTACATCCTAATCCCCAGAACCTGTGGATATCTCATATTACATTAGAATCCCGGTGCATGGATTTGTGCACTGGTGGGGTCGCTGGCCTGGCAATCTGGGACCCCTCAGGGGATGTTGGACTGCTAGTTTCAGCCTGATCCCCCACAGGCCAGGCCAAGGGACCCCACTGGTGCACAACTCTGTGCACTGGGCCCCTAGTATGCATATAAAATCTTTGGTTAATCTCTTCCTTCCCTCCCCCTTTCCCCTTCCCACTGAGATTCATCAGTCTGTTCCATGTTTCCATGCCTGTGGGTTAAGCATCTGCCCCCTGGTGGTCAGTGCGTGTCAGAGCTACTGGTCAAATGGTCAAACGTTTGCTTAGGCCAGTGGTTCTCAATCTTCCTAATGCCGTGACCCTTTAATACAGTTCCTCATGTTGTGGTGACCCCCAGTTTCATTGTTACAAATTGAACATAATTAAAGCATAGTGATTAATCACAAAAACAATATGTAATTATATATGTGTTTTCCGATGTCTTAGGCGACCCCTGTG